GAAAAAGGGGGGGGACCAGGCCCCCCCCCCCCCACTCCTCCTGTTCCGCGGTCCCTGTATTATCGAGCATAATTTACCCTGCAAGCCTACAACCAGGTCCAGAAACATATATCAACATTCCCCAGAAATAGGTTCACTTCAATATAAGACTACGACACATAATAATGAACCAGTATGGAAAATATAAAGTGATGTGCGCCGGACATGTTCAGTGCAGACCATGAACCAGCAATATATTTAATACTATCTAGGTTTTGGTGCACACGACCGGCGGACAAAAGTTTCATTCAATACTATGTATACAAATTAAATGAACGTAAAGATACTTATAATTTAAAATTTCTTGGGCTTCTTCTGGAACTTTCAGCCTTTTTCATCTTTTGTCAAAACAGCATGGCAAGATGCTTTGTAATATATTATAAATTTGAACTACAGTACTGTCAATGTTCAGTGCACTTGTTCTGTGCACAGAATAAATATTCAGTGCTTCCACTTTCAAAAATTAAAAAATCCTTATTTCTTCAACCCATAATTGACGGGGGTCAACTCTAAAACAAAACACAGTTATCAGAGTGAGTCGATTGTTCGTTTTATGTATTTGCCTTGTGTTTGGTGGCAAATACATGGAATTTCGTATCATTTTCTCACTCCAGTACAGCATAAAAATAAATACATTTGAGGTTGACCCCCCCGTCAGATTCACTGCATATAAATGCCCTAGTGAAAGGTGAAACCCAAGAATAGGAGAGTCAAGGAGTAGATCGCCATCGGCGATCCATCCATGTGACCATGTCTCTTGTATATATGCCGTAGATTTATAGATATAACATTCAATGCTCGTTCCCAGCCGGAACGATATAAACTATCATGGCGCCATAGTGGACAAAAGTCTAAAATAAACATTATCTCTTTTTGTTACTGATATCATGTGTTTCTTCCTTATATATATTAAGGTTGTTTTCCTTATAGCGCTTATAAAACGAAATTTTTACCTAAAAGGTACTGCTCAAATGATGAAGAATGACGTTTACAGTTTATTCGTATCTCATCTCATTCCCAAGTTGTCACACTTTCTATATTTTGAGTTGTGACGTCACTGGTTTGACTGGATATAGTGGCAATATTCCAATACCAAGAAAATCTGATATCTTGGTGATAGAAAGTTCGATAACTTGAGAATGAGTAGCCAGTCTGCTATCGCAGACTAGAGAATGAGATGAGATGTGAAGAAACTGTAAACGTCATTCTTCACCATTCCCGCAGTACTTTTTAGAAAAACAGTAAAAAATGAGGTGAAAATTTCGTTTCATAAGCACTTTATATAAAGTCTGTTTTAATTAAAAACCTTTTCTTTATGATGTTTGTGATGTTACTCTGAGTGTATATCCATACCGGACGAGCTTGAAAAATATGCCCGGCCACGGTGGGAATCGAACCTACGATCTTTATATATACAGAGGTTGTTTACCATTTACATGGAGATTCCGGTGATTCCATACGGAAAGTAAATGGAACAAGCATATTTCGACGGCCCAACCGGAATTTTTCCAGAATAAACGGTTTGTTTGAAAAGGTTGTCCTCTCTTACCGATTGGAACGTTTCAACCGGTGAATTTTGTTCCATTTACATCGCATAGTTTTATTTTTTCACCAGTTCCAGGCTCTTCGCGATTTAATTCAGACCGAATGGGTTTTCCATGTAAATGGTAAACAACCCTTCAGTGCCTTCCTGCCAGTCACTCTAAATGGAAAGCGCATAATCCGAATGGGATTTTCTATCCGAAATTTTGCTTACCACAGGGCCCGCGGAGCGTATTAGAGAGTGGGGGGGGGGGGG